GAAGAAAAAATTTTTTTTTCTCTGACAAGGGCTGAAATGCCCATTGTGTTGTAAAATTCAACACTTATCTGGGCGTGGTGGTAGGTGCCTGTAGTCCCAGCTACTCCAGAGGCTGAGGCAGAAGGATCATTTTCGCACCAAGAATTTGAGGCCAGGGATACATAATAAAAATCCCACTTTAAAAAACAAATTAGTATCGCTTCTCGGCCTTTTGGCTAAGATCAAGTGTAAAAAACAAATTAGTTGTTTAAAGTTTAGTTAGGCATCGTAGGAAGCCTCTGCAGAGTGTTTCAAAGCCTAGGGCATTTAAGGACCCACGAGGACATGACCCCACCATTCAGCACAGGTGCACAGCAGGGTTCATTTATGTCAGAAAGACTTAGAATAGGCAATCACACATGTGCAATACGGTCATGCCAGGACACAATGCTGAAAAGCTCAATCATGGCAAATATAAGGGCTGAGGAATAAAGATATACTGCTCTTGGTGTTGTTACTGATATCAGCTCCATGTGCTTGCTTTTCCCTGAGGATCTTGCCTGTGAAAATACCCCATCAGCCACCACCTGGTCTTGACAGCGTTTGATAACCTTAAGCTTCTTCAGTCACACTAGGAGCTTACATGTCTCTGTGATGTGGGAGACACTGGAACTTCATTTTCTGCAGCTCTTCTCATGGCACCAAGACCATGAAGTAATTATTGTCAGTCTGAGGTTTTTGGATTTTTTTTTTATGCCTTGTATCCCCTAAGAAGGGATGGTGGTGCACCAAAGAAAGATGTGAACCTTAGAAAACTTGCCCAAGAAGGATCCACCATCCAGTTACAGTAAAAATAGGCTACATTCCTGACCTTGCTAAATCAGGCTCAGAATTGATCCCTCTGGCCTTTGTGATATAATTGCTAGCTTTGAAGTAGGAAGTTGCTTTTTCCTCTACTCCTTTGCATCTTCATAGCTGGAAGTGTGGGTGTGGGTGTGGGAGGTGATGTCAAGGACTCAACTGATCCTTGAGTCAGCTTTAACCAGGTGCTTGATTTAGCTTTGATGAGTTGCTTTAGCGTGTGGAGGTGAGATATGGGTGTTTCAGTTTGGCAAGTTTCCACTGAATAGGGGGCCAGTGCTGCCTATGTCTCACGGATGATTCTGGGAGATAGGTAATGCAGCCCTGGCCCTCAAGGCTGTTTGCTTTTAGGATGTGGTTGTCATGTAAGGCAAGACATAACTGTGCCACACTGAGACTTTATATGTGATGGTGGTGGAGGCTATTCTGTGAAGTTGGCCTAGTGAAAGAAGGAAGGGAGGAGACAGACAGAAGACAAAGATGGACAGGGACAAGGAAGTGGATGTAAAGAGATGAGAAGAAACTGGTTAACAGGAGGAGGAAGCTCTCTAAGTCAGTGCCCTCACAGAAGGTCACCCCCAGTCTCAGATTAGGTGTCTGTGGAAGAAGGCATTTTAAGAGATCCAAAGGTCCCTGATGTGGGTACAAATGTTTGGTTGCTTCTTCCAGAATCCTTACAGTGGTTTACAATTACAATGCTATAAGTACAAGAGGACACTGAGTGCATACATTAACAATTTTGTAACTCTTGGAATATGGACCATAAATAGCTGAAAATGTCTTTTTATTTTTTTATTTTTTGACACTAGGGATCAAATTTGGCACTTTGCACTTATGAGGTAGGTGGTGGCATCACTGAGCTAAATCCCTGGCGCTGAAAATATAATTATGAAGAATATTAGGTCCAAATCAGAGTTGCAAACTAATCTGAGAGATGATGTGGTTTTAAGGAAGGAATGCAGTCAGTGGTGGCAGCTCTCTGTCCTACATCTTACACAGATAAGAGTCAAAGCAGAATGTCTCATATTTCCTATGTAACTGTCCTTCTGTGACTTTAATTTTTTTTTTTTTCTGGTACTGGAGATCAAACTTAGGACTTTGTGCTTGCCAGGCAGGCACAGTGTCACTGAGCCACATCCCCAGCCTGCCCCTGTGACTTTGGAAGGGTGGTCTACCCATAATTTTTTTTCAAGAGACACATAACTTCTCATACTTACTTATAAACTGAAGCCTGAGTAGAATGCAAAACATCAGCTCCTGCCTGCTCATATACATGTCCCTAAACACACTGGAAACAGGACTACATTTGTGGACCAAATACCCTTATCTCTTTCCCTCGGTGGACTCATATTGCTCCAGATGGCTTTTAAATTGGCTAATGTAATAAAGCAGAGGGTGAAGAAGGAAGTAGCCAGAATGAAACAATATATCCTTTTCCTTTCTAACTTACATAAAGGGCTGAACCAATGTCTGGGCCAATGCTTCACAAACTTTAATTTCTAGGAGACCCCTGAACAGCTTGTCAAAACACAAATTGCCCTGAGTATGGTAGCATGCATTTGTAATCCTTGCTACTCAGGAGGCTGAGGCAGAAGGCTCACTTGTACCCAGGAGTTTGAGGTCAGTCTGGGCAACATAGCAAGACACTAAAAAAAAAAAAAGACAGACAAAAAACAGGCCAGACATGGTGACACTCACCTGTAATCCCAGCTATTCAAAAAGTTGAGGCAGGAAGATCACAAGGCCAAGACCAGTGTGGGCAATTTACCAAGACTCTGTCTCTAAAAAATAAAAAGGGCTGGAAGTGTAGCTCAGTGGCACAGCACTGGCCTAGCATGTGTAAGGCTCTGGATTCATTCTCTAGTATTGCTAGGCTCTAACCCAGTTTCAGTTCAAGGAAATTTGTGAATATGGCCCAAGAATTTGCATTTTTTTCTTTTGTGGTATAGGAAATAAACATAGGGTCTTCACACTGAGCTACATCCTCAGCCTTTTTTATTGTGAGACAGGGTCGCATTAAATTGCTAAATTGCCCAGGCTGGGCTCAAATTTGCAATCCTCTCAGCCTTCTGGAGTGCTAGGATTACAGTTGTGTGCCACCATGCCTGAGTGAGAAGCTACATTTCTAGCAGTAGCTGTTCATGATGACACATACGTGCAATCCCAGGGCTTGGGAGGCAGGAGGATCACAGTGAGCTTGAGGAAAATAATGAGTTCAAGACCAGACTGAACTATATAGCAAGATCTTGTTTCAAACAAAACAAAACAAAAACAAATACATTACTAACAAGTTCTTCAGCAACCTGATGCCCTTGGTTCAAGGGCCACACTTCCAGAACTACTGACCTATGCTTCTGATTTTCAAAATTGATTGGATGTCAGAAATTGTCTGGACAGTTAAAAACAAATGAGGTTCCCAGTACCACAAACAAAACAAAATGAAAAACCAACCTATGCCCAGATCTAATCTCAGATCAATCTCAACAGAATCTACGCAGGAGTCACCAGACCTTGGTAGTTTTAAAAGATTCCCAGGTGATTCCAATGCATAACAGCCATAGTTGAGAATCACTGATTTAAGCTTTTGTAGCAGATGCCCATTAATGCATGTGTACTAAGTTAGTGAGATCCAAATGTCTCTCCTTAGTTCTCAGGCAGAATACCTTTGCACCCTGCACCTCTTTCATTGGGATGAATACAGCTGACAATTATTATAACAGAAATTGACTCCTCTTGGCTTATGGCCTAGAGAAAGGTTTGAGTAGAATTAAGGTAGAAATAGGAATCATGGAAAATGGTAGACAAGTTGGTAGGGAAAGAGGAAATGCTTCCTGGTTATAAATTAAAGATCTTTGGAAAGCACAGACCTGAAAATTATCTTAGGGTTCTTCTCCAAAAGGTAGTTTTTCTTTTTCTTTTTTGAGACAGGGTCTCACTATGTAGTTGAGACTGACCTGGAACTCACTATGTATCCCATGCTGGTCTTGAACTCACAGCGATCCGCCTGCCTCAGCTTCCCAAGTGCTGGAATTATAGGCGTGCACCATCACGCCCGGCAAAAATGTAGTTTTCTCACTCATTCCCAGCCTGGACAAGATAGATATTTTGACTGAATCAGGTTTAACAAACTTCCTAGCCAACTGTAGCTAGGTGAGCAAGAAAGTTAAGGGTTATTGGTGTGAGCAAAAATTGAGATATCCTGGAGTCTAACAATGATGAGAAAGTTTTCCTTTCTGCTAGGTTGTGTACTGGATCTAAATACATTTCTTTCTGAAGGTAGGTATTCACAGAATTACGGTGAGGCAAACACAGAAGCTGCCCCTCACCACTGGGGCAGACAGGTGACCCAGATTTGGCTAATCACATCCCTTTTCTTCTGGTTGGTCCTGGGGTGAGCACTACACCCAAACAGGATCAATCAGTCTTTCCCTGTATTTGATACTTGGGAGGGGTGCTACAGTTTGAGGCAACATTAATTAGGATTAATTAGACTTCTTCAACCTAGTGATCTTCAAACTGCAACTTGAAAAATCGAAATGCTTGTGCAGTTATACAGAGCAGAGGAATTAACAAATATAAAAGTTCTGCAGCAAGAAGGGGCCAAGTTTGTTCAAGGGAGTTATGAAAGCCAGAGTGGAGAGCAATTCCAATGCCCGAAACAGCTCTCTCCCCAACTCTTAAAATTAGGTAATGCACACATAACAAACATCATTCCCTCAAGCCCTCCCTAACCAAAGAGCAGGTTTCCCTTCGCTTCTAGATGACTAACCTGTTCCTATGGTCTAGAGATCTGCGTGTACTAGACTCACAGAACTCAAGGAAGGAAGTGATGGTATAAGAGAGAAGCAGGATGCAGGCGTTAAAGGGTCGCGGGAAGCCGAGGCGTTTCCCAACTTGTTCAGCCCACAGAAAAGCTTTGGGGAGCGACAACAGCGTTGCTGAGCGGCTACTCACGGGGCGGAAGTGCATCCCTCGAGCCGTTCTAGGAAACCCGGAGGACTCGGCTTGTCAGTGATCCTGGGGCAGAAGTGAGTATCTCCTGCTGCACAGATATTCCAGGAAGCGGACTGAGAAGTGGTGGCGAAATAAGGCTCGAATTAGGGAGAGAATTCGCGGAAAGCAAAGCGGGAAAAGACCAGGAGGCTTGGCCAGCTGACCACCTGTTCGCCCGGCAAGTGCGGCTCGCGCTGATTGGCTGGAGTGCAGCCCGGGTACCGGAAGTGGCCGATGCTCGTCGCCCGTGACACCCAGACAACAGCTGGGGTTCTGTGAGAGCGTCGGAGCAGCCCTGGGGCCCCACTGAGCTGAGTGAGCGTTGGGCCACAGCGGCCAGCGGTGAGATCTCGTTCTGTCATGGCTGGGAGGAGGATGGCATTGGGCTCCCCGCTCCTCTGCCTGCGAGCGGAGTGGGAGCCCTAGGTCTAGGCCCATTCCTGACGCGGGCTTGCTGTGTGACCTTGGACTTTATGGCTACCTCCGGGCCTCTGTTTCCCCACTTGCACACCGAGAGGGTGGGTCTTGACACTACCAGGGATTATCTCAGTTCTGACAGTGCCTGTCAGCTTCAGGAACAGGAGCAGTAGGTCCATGGGGACCTATGGGAGCTGTGTATTTCTGAGACAGTTTATCCTCAAGCAGATCGCTGGGATGAGAAGGTGGGCAAAAATTAAGGCAGATTGTGGCAGATTGTGCCCTGTACTGGCAAACAGAATATTGGCTTGTAATGGTTAGTTATGGAAAGGAAACGGGATTGAACAGTTTTAATAAGCGCTCTCTTGAGTGTGGGTACCACCAGAGGCAGGACAGAGAAGGACAACAGTACCTTAAATATGCAGATTGGGAGAAGGGACTTATTTTACATATAGGTATGTGTCAGCCACTGTCCTAAGCATTTTAGGTGCAAAGCTAAAATAAATCTGCCCTTAGCCCTCAAAAGTAGATAAGATTCTTACACAGATTCACTTTCCAAACATTTACCAGGTATCTGGAATGTGCTAAGTACTGGGAAAACCAAGATGAATAGAATGTCATTCTTGCTGGTAGTCTAGAGAAGAAAATAGACATGAAAGTAAAACTACATTGGGGTAACTGCCACAGATGAAGGGGTATCTATCCTAGGGATTGCCAATGAAGGGGTATCTATCCTAGGGATTGAGTGTCAGGAAAAAAGTGGAGAGAATGGCACATGCTTCAGCTGAGTCTTGAAGATGGTTAAATGCACAAAGTGAACAATAATACCAGGATGTGGGAATAATTTGTTCTCAAAAGCAAAGCACCTTTAAAAAATAGGAAGTGTTTGAACTTCGAGGATACACTGAGCATGACTGCAGCTTCCAGCTGTTTTGAAGTATGTGGCATAGGAGATGGGGAAGGGAAGCAGCTCTGATCACAAGGGCATCATGAGCCATGTAAGACGGTTTTATTCTGGGGGTTTTGGGGAGCAGTAAACAGGACATGACATGAAAACTATAGTAACAATAAAGAGGTGAGAAAAGGGCCAGTGAAATCCTGATTCAAAGACCAAGAGAGAACCTCCTTCCTGAGGATGTTAAAGAAAATTTTTGGAGGAGGTGATCCTTGGAATGGATTTTGAGTATTTGGGGACTTGGCCTTTCAGAAGGGAAAGTATTTGTATCAGTTAATATTATTGTTTATAAGTAACAGAATCTACCTTGAGCTAGCTTAAAAACATTCAAGAATACAAATTCTCAGCTATATACAGTGGTGCACACCTGTAATTCCATTACTCATGAGGCTGGGGCAGGAGGATTGCCTTGAATTAGAGGCCATCTTGGACTACATAGTTTAAGCCAGCTTGAACTACATAGTGAGATCCTGTCTTAAAAAACAGAACAAAAAATTATAATAGATTGGAAGTCAAGAGGTATAACAGTTTCAGGAATGAATTAATCCAGTGGCCTTGGCTACATTTCCTCTTGATTTTTTAAAGCTCACCTTCCTTTATCTCCAGGCTGGTGATGGCAGCAGCATGTCCAACCAACAATATATACAAGTCTCTTCCTGTGGTTCTCAAGATGGCAGGAGATTTCCCAGACACTCACAGCAAATTTCCTTAAAATACTGATGCTGGGTACACTGGCGAACCTGTAATCCCAGGAACTCAGGAGACTGAAGCAAGGAGGATTGCAATTGCAAGTTTGAGGCCAGGCTTGGCAACCTTGAAAGACCATATTTCAAAGTGAAAAAAAAAAAAAAAAAAGCTAGGCTATAGCATAGTGCCTCTGGCTTTCATCCACAGTACTGAAAATAATAATCATTGACTCAGATGAACCAGGAATTCCTGAAACCCTGCTGTTTCTGAATCAGTCTTTGCAAGGGGGATAGTACTTGATTGGGTTAGCCCAATTGAGGTTAACTCCTAGAGGTCTTGAATGAAATAAGATAATAAAGCTATTGGAAACATCTTTGGTCCAGGACCCTACGAGATAATTTCTAAGATTTGCATCTCCTTATGTATTTCACAGTTTTCTTTCTCATTATGTAGTTCAGGCTGGCCTTGAACTTACTATGTAGGATAGCCGGCATCAAACTCGCAGCAATTCTGCCTCAGCAACCCAAGTGCTGAGATTACAGGCATGCACCACTATACCTGCCTTCTGTTTTAATCATAAATTTGAATAGTTGTAAAGGATATTATTTTTGGTGGATTATAAATTTTGACATTTCAGAATAAAACCTTGTCCTGATTTCCAAGACACATAACCACGGTTCCAAGAGCTTCCCACATTCTTCATCTCTCAGTACTCTATTAACATCCCACACCTCCCCTGCTCCTACCCCTTTATTTGCCTCTCCATCTCAGGTATCTCAAGTATGTCCTGGCTAACATTCCCAACTTCCTCACTCTCTGTCTTCCACAAATCTCCCCAGATTCCAGCTGGCCCCAAGGGTGATGAAGGCACTGCTGGAGATATTCCGGAGAGTATGGCAAGTGGCCCCTTCTTACACTGATGCGCTCTATAGTCTCATCAGGAGGTTGTGAGGGTTAAAATTATGTCTGTAATTTGCTTGGCACTTAGCCCATAGGAGGGGCTCATCATCCATTTGCACACCATACTGTCAGTGCATCTTCATGTATCTCTCCTCCTTCCCTATCTGTCCCAATCTTGTATATTGTTCTGCCTCTTTATTTTTCTTACTCCTCTTATATGTTCTAGGTTCTGAGGCTTTGCTTGCCCCTTTTCTCAGAGTGCTGTAGTACAGTAATTTTCAAACTGAAGTACATGAAGTGGGTATATGAATGCTTTTTCTCTGTGGATACATGGATACATCAATTTCTAGATCCTTCAGTTTATGTCCTGGCCTATGACTGATCTGCTTGAATATGGGGTTGTGGCCTCCAGGTTTCTCTTATCACTTTTTCTTTTGCAATTGCTCTTTTCTTTTCCTTCTTGATAAAAGGAGGACATACCTCTTATCCATTCCCTCAAAAAACTTCTGGAGTGACACTCAAAGGTGTAGTTTGTTGAGGGAGTGAGTGACTCTTAGACTTTTGTGGTAAGCTCCAATCTTTGCTTCCAACAAAAAATTTAAAAGATCTATTCAGGATGTCACCTGATAGATGGTTTAATAATATTTTACTACAAATCAAAATGCTGTTTTTGGCACATGAGTTCAAAGAATTAAGTGATGTTGCTATTACAAGAGATCACTATAAACTGATTAAGACTGTTTTGTAACATCCGATCCAGTCACAGTTACTCGTATCAATATGACACCAAAATAGAAATGTGGTTTTTCAAATTTCTTTTTTCTAGAAATGTGATTTTTTTAAAAACCAGAAAAGAATATCCAGTCACTTATACCTGTCATGTCTACTGTAAGGAATTTAGGGTAGAGGAGGGACAATCAAGAGGAAAATAAAGAAAAAGAAGTCAGTAAGAACTGTAATTCTGCTACTTATATAGACCAGACCTTAGGTAGAGATGGATGTACCAGATTCAGAGTGGGATAGCTCTAGGCATTAAGATTAACAGTAGCTTTCAAACCTGACTGTGCATGAGAATCACTCAGTTTTAAAAAATACAGATCCTTCGTATCTCCCTTGAGATGTTGATTGAGAGGTCTAAGGTATGACTTAGAAGTCAAGTTTGTTTGTTTGTTTTTTTGTTGTTGTTATTGGTTTGTTTTACTTTTGTTTTCTGGTATATCAGGGATTGAACCCGGGGTCTCACATGGAGCTATGTCTTAGCTCTTTTTCTTTTTTTAGTTGAGTATAATTAACAGGTAAAATCATATAAAGTATACAACATTGTGTTCTGAGGTACATATACATTGTGAAATAATTATGACAAGCAAGGAATTAACATATTCATCACTTCACATACTAATAGCAAATTTTATTTATTTTTTTGGTACTAGGGATCAAATTTGGGTCCTTGTGCTTACAAGGCAGGCGGTGGAACCGCTGAGCTAACTCCCTGGCCCCTTATAGCAAATTTTAATTTCTTCCACTTAGAAATATTTTATAAAAAATACTCTTAAAAGGAAAAATTGTGTTCAGCATCTCACACTCAGGGACAGATTAAAACAATTGGACAATATTCTAGATTATTTCTTGATGTCTATTATTTTTTATTTTGAGACAGGGTCTTATTAAGTTGCCTAGGCTGGCCTTCAGTGTACACTACTGCACCTAGAAGTCAGTTTTGTTTTGTTTTTTTTTTTTTGTACCGGGGATCAAACTTGAGACCTTGCGCTTTTTTTTTCTTTTTATTGAGTTTATTGGTACAATCTAGGTATACAGTAGTTACATTCATTATTGGGATCCTGTACCTTTACATAAAGGACTTGATTCTCATTTTTTCCCCTTGTCCCTGCCCTCTCTTCACCCCCTCCTCCCCTCCCCATTTACAAACACTTTATTTCCATTTTTTCAGTTTCTAATATTTTTTCCTCTCCCTTATTACCTTTTCCCCACCCTTCCCACTTCTTTCCCTACATCTTTAGCCCTTTACTTCCTATTTCACATTATTAATTATCTCATTAGGATCCTGTGTACTATTATAGTTTTTCACACCAGAGAAACTATTTGGTATTTCAGTTAAAGAAATCTCTGTAGACCTTGCGCTTTTGAAGCAGGCGGCAGCACCACTGAGCTAAATCCCTGGACCTAGAAGTCAGTATTTTTTGTTTGTTTGGTTTTTTTTGTTTGCTTGTTTTTGGTATCAGGGATCAAACTTGGTTCCTTATGCTTGCAAGGCAGGCGGCGGAACCACTGAGCTAAATCCCTGGCCCACAAAATCAGTATTTTTAAACAAATTTCCCAGTTGATTCTTAGGCAGCTAATCTACTTCCCAGCCAAGAATTATTTA